AGGAGATCACCGCGCTGGCTCCTTCCACCATGAAGATCAAGATCATTGCGCCCCCAGAGAGGAAGTACTCCGTATGGATCGGAGGATCCATCCTGGCTTCCCTCTCTACCTTCCAGCAGATGTGGATCTCGAAGCAGGAATACGACGAGTCCGGCCCCTCGATCGTGCACAGGAAGTGCTTCTAAGCGCGTTGCGCCCCCGCGCCCCCAGCAGCCCGCGGCCCGGCCGGACCCGCGGCCGGCTGCTCAACTCAGGCTTGTAATCTCCGTTAATTTAATTGTACGTAAGATATTATTATGTAATTAAATCGTAATAGTGACGGCAGGACGGAGCGCGGCGCCGCGGGCGCGCCTCGACCGCCGGCCTCTCGGTACTGCACTCGCCAAAGGATCTTTTTGTAATCTCATGAATGATGATTGTATGTGCTGAAACGGATAAGACTACTTTCTTACTAGGTCATTTATAAATTATAAAATATAGAAAAAATACATAAAAAAATCCGTAAAATTGAACCCGAAGTTTTATTTCCTCCTTCGTATCCGATGTTTAACCTAATGTGCAGCGAGTTCGACGCTCGGCATTGACCTACGTACAGGAATAGATTAACGTGTGATGGAATCCGAGAGGCGTAACGTAGCGATCTAAAAATACTAAGTTGTGAAATTCGCAATACATTTATTGGGAAAGTATAGTACTATAGTTTGTAAGAAATAAAGACTGCTTGTAAAATAAATTTGATTTATAATGACTCCGATCATACTTTCGCCTTAACTTTCCAAAAATACTTGTTTTGACTCATGTCTGCATGAATCGATGAGATTTAATTTTCTCTAAAAACTTTCATATGCACTTTCTGGTACAATATCGAACACTAACTTCAACTGATCTGAGGTAAACATTTCAAGTTGTAACTATTTGTGCATTAGCTTTTGTGTAAAGTATGCACAAATATTCCAAACGTACGCCTAGTTTGGGACCTTTCTCTTAGATCGATGCACTGTGGTAAGCTTCTAGCAGCCTTTATAGAAAACATTACTTTAATTTTGTCCGAACTTTCATAGTAAATGAACTGCGATACATGTGATGAAAATTTTAAGAATTTGGTAGAAAAATTGTGTGCACATTGTAAAGCGAAAATTAAAAATGTAGCGAGAAATGTCACAATTTACTTCTCTTCTTATTTTGTAATAAATATTTATATTAATTTAATTGATCATTTCTGAGACTAGACAGATTAGTAGAAAACCATCTAGCGTTGTTTATGGTTTTCTATCGATGTGAACAGTTCAGTAGTTTCCGTATTTTCATTCGGTGAGAAAAGATGCTCCCGCCGGAGTATACCCTAAATCATTTTAAAAAATATAGTTCATTATCATTATTTTGATGAAATTCTGCATAGATGTAAAGTCAGGAAGATCATAAATATAGGCTCACTCACTTTTGATTTTTTAATTCGCGGGTCTCCGGCGAAAGCCGATAAATATTAAAACAACTAAAATATTTCTGCAAAGTTTTATTGCCGACATCACAATCATATCCACAATTAAGTATAAGCGACGTTAAAAATATGTTAGTTACAAAATTTTACAAATAAATAAAGAAAATACGTGTAAGAAGGTCGACATATAAAATATTAGTGAATTATCGCGGGAAAATAAAACAGCCAGCTGTCTAAAACGGTCTTTACAACTCATGATTTTATTTTCTTCGTATTTTAATCAAAAATCTTATAAAATTGAATAAATAGGGAAGAACAAATATATTGTATATGTTGAATTAAAGGCATTCGTTAGTAATATTGATGAAGGAAATTAATTATAAGGCCACTTCATACTAAAAACGTACTTTGAACACGAAATACTAGCAAACTGGATAATAACACTATCTTATACTTTTAAAACAATGAACAGTCTCAGTAAAATAGATGATTAATATTGGTAACTTGATTTATAAATAATATATAATAATATTATTGTTATACATGGACGAGTTTCTTAATAATTTACAATTTATGTTTGTAAAGCTGCCTATAGATAAAAAATAATATTGACTTTAACAAAATCTATAGAAATTATTGTTTAAATTGAATAAACATAGGTTAGAATTAGAATTAGAAAGCGAATAAAATTAGAGACAGTCAAGAAACGAATAAAAGATAATAAATGTTTTTAAAAAATTGCGAAATTAGTCTCAAAGCAATCACGCTAACAACCTAGATCGGGTAGACACAAATTATAAACTAAGCATTAAACAATTCATATTACAATCTAAAAACTAAATAAGATCTCGAATTAGCGACGTTGGGATCCATATTAAGCAGAAATTCCCAAACGATTCGCGGACATTGTCAAAATTCAAATTTTTATGGACCCTTGGTATTTCTTGTAACTTTTGTACCCTAACCACAGCAGGGTTGCAGGGTTTGCCATGAAACTTTTACTTTGGGAATCACTGTTTCCAAGTTTCTAAACGCTAAGTTACTTTTTGAGACTTGAAGTGAACTAAAGCTTACATTAAGTTGGCAAAGAATTCATTAACCTCTACATGGACTAGCTCCTCACTAAAATTATCAAAATAACTTACATCTAACACGGGACTTGGACAGATAAAATTTTGTACACACTTCAATACTACTTTAATGTAACTAAATTGGACTCGAGTTACCTTAGTTGTCTATGCCTCATTCAGTAATTATCAAAATAAATTCCACAAACATTTCATATATTTTTCTACAGGTTAATAATAATTAGGATTAACACTTAATATTTTGTAAGTACAGCTTAATGTTGTAGACAAGTTTGTATATTAAAATATGTGTTTGATTTTTTTATTAAATTTTCGTTACTTAAAATGTTTACTGATAGCATAGGCGTCACCAGTGGGGGTTGGGGAGTACCCCAGCTGCCTTCTAACCTTAGGAAATCGAAAAATACAAAAAAGTTACACAGCTAAAAAAAAACCTACATTAAATAAATTCAAGTAAAGTTAATAGCAATTTAAAAACATAGAAAATATCGTTAGTTGTTTTTGACCGACTTCCCAAAAGAAGGAGGTACTCAATTCGTCTGTTAAATTTTATTTTTTTAAATGAAAGAAATAATAACTTATAAGTACTGAATGTATTTCACAAAAACATTTTTATTTATATTCAATGACATAATTTTTATTAAGCAAATGACGCGATAATCGTGAACGTAAATATGTCGTGACCGGCGTGACGTGTCGTGCGATAATTTGCATTGTTATTAGGCATGATACGACGGATACTACTTCTTTAAAAAAACATTAAAAAACTTTTAATATCTGTAAATATTAAAAAAAGAGATATATAAAACCACAATACCAATTAAAAACACATTTGCATTGAATTAAAAACTAATTTCGTTTCATATTTGATTTCCAGTCCCGTGTGAATTAAAAGACGAATTCGCCGTTTATACACAAAAAAATTAATTACTAAGGACCTGTCCCACCACTGGCTGATAGCTCAGATAGCTTAAAAATAACATTCAGATAAGGTAACAAAAACCGATATTTCCATCACATATTTGACACGTTGGATCATCAGACAATTTACAATTTGGTAGGACAGGCCCTAAGAATCGATATATCGGGATAAAAAATTAAAAACATTACAAAGTATTTAAAAATATAGATTAAAAATATTCAGAACTAAGCGTATTGCCGTCGACATTGTGCGGATTAAAAAAATACAAGATAATTATGCTGACCTAATAATAATTTTATCTGTATAATAAATATCGTTTTATTACAACAATCATTTTGTACTTCGGACGTGTTAAGGCCACAGACTTTCTTACAGCTACCGTCAGGAATGGTCACCATACAATTTATAAAAAAAATACAAACTGGACATTTAAAAGTCGATAAAATAGTTTAAAAGTCATTGGTTAGTTAGTCATTTATTGACCGTGAATTTCAAATGTCTCTTTGCTGTACTGACTGTACAGTCAGCTGCACAAATATGTATTTACGTAGTTTCAAAGATTTGAATATGTTTACGGTTTCAATATTATGTATTTTTATATCTAATCACTAATATATCGTCGAAGAACATTTTTAAAATTCACGGAAAATTACACTATTAGTAAAAACAGCCTACTGTTAACAATTTTAGCTTAAATAAACTTAGCGTGGCGATTCACGTTTGATTTCTTAAAGTGTCTTTTATCCATCATACCAATATTAGTAATTCGAAATTTTAGTTGGATGGATGTTTGAGAGTTTGTAGAAACGTCTGAACGGATTTCGATGAAATTTGGCATAGATGTAGAGGATAGTCGGGACACAAAGGCTACTTGCATTTGTTTTTTTTTTAAATCCGCGCGGACGCGTCGCGGGTGAAAAAGTATAAAAATATTGTTAACAGTAGGCCCTATTGAGTAATAATCTGATTTTCCGAAAAAAAAAAAAAAAAAAACAAAAACATCTTTCTATTTAATCAATGATATGCTATTAATAAATACGTGCATATTTTTTTAAAACCAAACCAGTTTGAATATTGTTGTAAATGTATTCAGATTTATGCAGCTGACTGTACACTATAGCTATCTCTGTTCTTCGCTAAGAGGATGACAGGGATAGCACTACTAAAAACGGAGATTTTGCGTAGTGTTACGTTTCGCTGTCATGTATGCTATCATCTGTCGCTTGTCGTATATCAGTTAAAGCGTTGCCGTGTACTCGGAAGCGATACA